AACCAATTAAGTCCTTAACTTTGTAATTTTGACACGATTTGGTCCTCCATCTATTTGACCGTTTGTTGACCGCGATCTTTGAGGATATATATGTAGTTTCACGTGCAAAGCTCAAGAGAACGCTCTTGGAGGTGACATCGTTGTTTCGGAGGGGGAAGTGTTTATCTGTTTGCTGCTTGGGGATCACGAGCCAGTTCAGCTTAGAGAACGCTCTTGGAGGTGACAACGTCGTTTCGGAAAGGGGGAAGTGCTTCTCCGCTTGCTGCTTGGGGATCCCGAGCCGGTTCAGCTTGCCTACATCGCTTGGAGTCACGGCTTTCTCGAAGAGCCACTCCAGGGACTTCGGCGATCTATCTATCAAAAACTATAATCTCTCCGGCATGGGGTGCAGCGCCCGCAGTGGATTCAAAAGTAACAGTGCGGTCTAGAAATGCAACCGGAACCTTAAAAATCGATGATGGACCATGAAATTACATATATATCCTAAAAAAGTGCAGTCAACAAACGATCAAATAGACAAAGGACCAAATTATGTTAAAATTGCAAAGTTAAGGACTTAATTGGTTGAAATTAAAAGTCGAGGACCAATTTGTGAATTTAGCTATAGTCGAGGGACCATTTTGGGTATTTACTCACTTATCATTTAATTTTGGCTTATTTGATCACTATTAGCTGTTTGACTTAGTTAAACAGTCAATATAAGTATTTAATTAATTAATTTTTTATAACAGCTTATTGTTCCAAAACAATAAAAATTCAAAAGTATTTTTTCGATCAGCTTTTTGAGAAAATTATTTTGCATTAATCAACTATTATTATTTAAAAAAAAAAAAAAAAAAAAAAACAGATCGTCTCTGGTCAGAGACGAAGAAGTTATCTTCGTATCTATGGCCGGAGACGAAGAGACTCTTTGTCTCCAGCAATGGACTCTTCGTCTCCGACCATGGAGACGATCTATTTTTTTTAATTTTAAATAATTAATAATTGTAAAAAAAATTATATTATGGGTGACCTGCTAGAAACCTAAAAAATTTACAAATTGGACTAATTGCATGAAATTGGTTAGTTTAGAGATTCAATTGTAGATTTTTTAGGTTTAGTGGCCTAATTGCATTATTGTGTGCAGTTCGATGGCCTATTTGACCCTTATTCCTTAATTTTTTGCAATTAGGCCCTACACTTACCAAATTTGGGAAAAGTTTTTTTGTTCAGTTCAGTGTTTTATGCGTAATAGTGCGATGGAATCTGCGATGCATTTGTTTGTTGAATGTCATACGGTACAGTCAATTTGGCATAGGGTAGGAATTATGGGAGCCCTTTTGGGGGAGGGCTAGCAGACTTGTTTTTTTCAAAATGCTTGTCTTCAGGGTATGATATGATAATGGTTGCAGGTTGGTAATGTTACTTTGGGAGATATCCGAGTTTTTTGCACTTTTGATCTCACGACTATAGTGGCACTATCAGAATTGATCCACGACTTTCAAACCTTGCAATTTTAATTCACGACTATTGTTTTTTTGGCAAAAAAGGTCCTTCCGACCACTTTTCCGTCAAAATTTCACCGGAGAAAAATTTATTCATTTTTGAAGAGGGCTAAATTTGACATTTCGCTTGCAATAACAAGTTAACAACAGGAATACTCCAGGTTTGCAATATACTTTATATAAAAGCATATTCTGCACTTTTTGTACTAGGCAAATTTAGCAATTTTAGCCCTCCTAAAAAGGAAGAAATTTTCCTCCGGTGGAATTTTGACGAAAAAGTAGTCGGAAGGACCATTTTTGCCAAAAAAACAATAGTCGTGGACTAAAATTGCAAGGTTTGAAAGTCGTGGATCAATTCTGATAGTGCCACTATAGTCATGGGACCAAAAGTGCAAAAAACTCGGGTATATCATATATGGAACTGTCGGAACTTGATGGTGTTTAAAAATCAGTGTACTACTATCGATAATATAATTGATAAATCTCTTTCTTTTTTAGAGAATTGGAGAAAGGCAAATGTGAATCAACGTGATCAAATTGCCGTGATAGACAAAGATCATGCAATGGCAGATTCAAATTGAATACAGATGTGGCGATTTGTCAAAATTGAGGCTGTATGAGTCTGGGTTGGGTAATAAGCAGTGTTGCAAAAATCGTAGGTGCCGATTACGGTTGGCTTCCTAGGCGTCCGTCTAGGCGTCCTAGGTGGTCCCAGACGCCTCTAGCGATTTTTTCAACATTGGTAATAAGAGACTCTAATGGAGAATTCTTTGCTGCTAAGGGGGTGCGGTGGGAAGGTGTCTACACGTCTAAGAAAACCGAGGCTCTCAGTATTCGTGAAGCGTTGAGTTGGTTAAAATGATTAAATCTTGATCATTTTGATGTTGAAATTGATTCCCAACAAGTTTTGTTTTTTGTTTTTTGTTTTTTGTTTTTTGTTTTTTTTTTTGTTTTTTTTTTTTTTTTTTTGGTTTTTTTGCTTATAAAAACTACTTATTTTCATTCTTCTTTAGGTTTGGTTATTGATGATGTCAAGGAAATAGCTAGTTCTTTTACTGATATATGTTTTAAGTTTGTTAAACGATCTGCGAATCGAGCTGCTAATACTGTTGCTAGGGGGGTCGTTTCAGCAGGGCCGGATTTTAGGCTGTGCAAGCTGGGCTACCGCACAGGGCCCCCAATTTTAGAGGGGCCCCAAATTTTAGAGGTCCAATATTTAATTTTTATCTAGCTAGTTTCGAAATTAAAATTAAAATTTTTCAATTAAACTTAAAAAGTTCTATGAAGAGATGGTAAGAATGTGTGTTTATTATATTTTAACTTTGAGGTCAAAGGTTCGAAACTTGCAATTTTGATAGGGCCACATTTATTTACCAGAACAGGGCCACCAAAACTTAAAATACGGCCCTGCGTTTCAGAGCCAGGTTATGGTGAGTGGCTACCTACACCGCCTTTGTCCACTGTGAATATTTTGAAAAATAATGTAATGAATTGATTTTACCTTTTCAAAAAAATAATAATAATAACAAAAGTTGACAACACAATTGCCATGACAACATGTTGCGACATGTCAATGCTATTGTTATTTTCATGCCAGCAAATTTAATGTCGGCATTGTAAGTTTTCTTAAATTATTGTATTATCAATTTATCATAGAATCAACTAATCAAGCTAAAGAATTCTTAGTAACTATTATAATATCACTGCACATTATTAAAATTTGAGAATTATAAAATAGTATATAAGTATTTATATTCACTTTTTGTTTTTTTTTTTTATAGAAAATACAACTTGAACTCTAATAAGTTATAATCACTATTTCTACTCCCTCACTCAAAATTTTAAAATTTTTTAGATTCACAGAATAAAGATAACTTATCATTACTTGTCATATCAAAGAATAAATGTAAGGGAGTAAATATTAGAAGTTCATGTATATAATAGAACTCTTTCTTTTTTTACCCGAAAGAGGGGATACCCAACTAGCTCGTGGTACTATAATACAATTTGCCCGAGTGTACAACACGCACAACGAGGTAATCAATTACACAATAGTTATTGCGTGGACCGTGGTCCAGCTAGATATACATTTTTATAATTCATAATATATATTATTCTAAATCATAATGTACATTATTTTTTGACAATATTTTGGACCGTGGTCCATACAGCTGTGTGGACCGTCAATTACATATACGTTACATATAATATCGTAATATACAAATTTTGAATTTTTAAAAGGTAAATTGTGAATATTTGGATCCGGGCCCACAAAATAATTTGCGACGCACTGCCTTGCCGGCCCATTGCTGTTTAATTACGAAGTTATATTGAAAATTGATTTGAGTTTATTTTTATATTATTCTTCCAAAAGGTTGAATAGTGTCCACCTTGTAAGGTGGACACAGTTCTATGTTCATAATTACTGAACTATATGTTCATAATAATAAACTAAAGTTATATATTTATAATTTTTGAACTTCATATTCATAATTATTGAATTCTATATTCACAATTACATAATTTTATGTTCATAATTACTATATGTTCATAATTATTAAACTATATATTCATAATTTTTTAACTTCATATTCACAATTACTGAATCTCTATATTCATAATTACAGAACTATATGTTCATAATTATAGATTTATATATTCATAAATTTTGAATTATATATTCATAATTATGAACAGTTTTGAAACCGTGTCCATCTTGCAAGATGGACACAGTTCCACAACATAATTTGCCCTATATCATGGGTCGTTATATTATGCACCGCGGTGCATAATCGATTATGCACCGCGCGCCAGACACTACAGTGTGTTTAAACCGACACTATCAAAACGACGTCGTTTTATTTAAGTAAAGAAACGGCCCGCCGTTAGAGTTAACGGAGTCTGCTTGTTTGGTGTATTAAACACCAACTGACACTACAGTATATCTAAACCGACACTGCAGTTATATCAAAATGATACTGTAGTTATAGTAAAATGAAACTGCAGTGTATATAAAACGAAACTGAATAACATTTCACATATTTGAGTGTATATAAACTGCAGTGTGTATAAAATGAAGCTGTAATTATATCAAAATGATCATGTAGTTGTGTTTTAATGAAACTATAGCGTATATAAAATAAAATTAAATAACATTTTCACATATTTGAGTCTATAAATATCGAATGAAACTATAGTTATATCAAAATGAAACTGTAGTTGTGTTGAACTGAAACTGCAGTGTATACAAAATGACACTGAATAACAGAGTTACTTTTTGCAAAAGGGTGCGAAACGGCGGAAACAAACACTGTTTATTTTCATTTAAAAAAAAAAAAAAAAAAAGACGCGCGGTGCATAATCGATTATGCACCGTGGTGCATAATATAATTTGCCCTATATCATAAAATGGGCCTGAAATCTGTTTGGAATACCAATATTATCATCTTAGTTTCCTTGACTTGGGCCTTATAAATGACAACAAACAAATATTTTTTAAAATATCCAAAAAAAAAAAAAAAAAAAAAAAAATCCTAAGAAATTTGCTCCCTTGAACAGAGATATGATATAATCGATCACTGGGATTTACAAATACTAAATTTCATAGATATAGCACAAAAATCATCTATGTAGGTATGCCCTATTCTTAATTGGTTTCCATATATATTAAAATATATCCCATAACACCCGTATTCTTAATATCCTAGATAGCCGATGTCCTCTCTTATCACTTGATTATGTTGATATATCATAACTTCAGTTCATATAATAACTTTCATATTTTCTTGAGTAGTGATAGTCCAAAGCTCTGCATTTTTGACTTTGGAAACACTCTCCAACACTTCAAAAGGAACAATGTCTCCCACAACAACCACCATTTTGGTTTCCAAGTCCACTTGATAGGAAGTCACTCCTATTGCAATAACATAAAACATCATTAATTATTCCAAAACAAGTACTTGTTTAATTAATTAGGTTGTGGTACAATATAATACTATATAGTAGTCTTTATTAACATTAATTAACATACCTTCCATCTTGGAGATGTGTTTCTCCACTTTCTTGGCACAACCATAGCAATGCATGGAGACCCTTAGAACCACCATCTACATTATCATTAAAATTCAAATTTTCATGAGATATATTAAAGGAGAAAAATCAAGAAACTAACTTAGCCAAAGAACTAAGAGAACCCATCTATATGTGCAAGTAATTGAAGGTAATGTTGGCACAACTCAGTCAAGTTTGTCAGAATATTGATTAGCTAGGTAACCATAACGTTACAAGTTTGACCCTAACAAATCAGCTATGATTTTTTATTATAAGGGAAGGGGATACCCACATTTACAAGCTACTACATCAGATGTCACCATAATCGCCTCGACCGAGGCTCAAACCTATCACCTCCCACATAGAAGAGCAACTTAGTACTAATGGACCACAAGGTAGGATTTACTAAGGTGTTGGGAGCAACCCCAGACAAGTTGATCATGTTTTTGACTTGGTAACCATAAAGTTACAACAAGTTAGACCCAACAAGTCAACTATGCCAAGTGTTAGGAACAACTCGGCCAAGATAGTCAGACTTTTGACTTAATATACATGATACAAGTTCAACCCCTGATCAGCTATGAATAATCTTGACTGATGGTTATCGACTAGAATCATAAGACGGAATTCACCCACACCAGGCTCTCAAGTAGTGTCAAATTGAAAATATATTATGCTAGACACACACATACCTTAGGCTTGAGTTGAAAGGCCAAGGTGGGAGGTCCAGAAATGACATCCTTCAACCTAACAGCCTGCTGATGCCCATGCCCATCTTTTGGGTGGTCACCCAACATGAGTGGCCTTTTCTCAAAGTGATCACCATCTTGACCACTCCCAAAGCTGTTGATGCCGCAGAAACAAGAAGACCCAGAACTAAGACACAGACTATCAAACACCCTACCAAACCTCAACTTCCCCATTCAAAAACACTACCAATACAATAATGCAGCAGTATTCAATAATTCATTCAAGAAGATAACACACACACTTTGAGGAAGAAGAAGAAGAAGAAGATGCAGTGTGGAGTGAAAGGAAAGGCCCAACTTTATTATTGCATTGGGAGAGGGAAAAGTGGGAAAGGAATCAAGAATGATAAACACCCATTTGTGTGCATATATATATGTATGATGAAATTGATGACAGGGTTCTGTGAATCATGCGACAATGGGGGATCAGAGGTTAATAAACATCATATCTATGGGAGATGTGAAGTGGAATAGTGGAGAGGAGCCACTAGCTGATCGAAGTGTTTAATTATTAAGGTATTTATTTATAGATAGACATGGATCAGAAGTAGTGTAATATATAACATGCAATGCATTTACTTAATAAATGTCTTTTTCTGTATAATAATATTATTATATAGCATCACCGGCCACTAAAACTTAAATGAGCAGAATTTGAACTCCTAATTTTAAATAAAGAGGAACATGATACTGTTTTTGTCTCATCATAAGAGGAATGAAATATACTATTATCTTGAAATGAGTGACTGAGTGGGTGGAACTCAATTCTCGTATTTACAAGTTTAATTTTTGTTAATATCTTCTTGGTTGAACTCGTTGTACAGCTTCGTCCTTGTGATTTGTCTTTCCTATATATATAATTTGCAAGCTATTACATAAAAGCGGGGTTTATCCCGTACAGACTCTCCTCACTCGAAAAAGAATACTCCGTATATTATTATTAACAAAAACTCGATCATGATCAAATGACTATATATAAAAAGTTCTACTATACGAACTCACAAATTCTACTCCCAGATGTGACAAACAAGGATTGATTATTTTCATCATATGGGTCCACAGAAAAGTGCCTACATCAAGAATATGTGAAAGGGACTAAAAGTTTAGAGTATAAAATGGGAGTACATAAAGTATTTTCCATATATAAATGCTAAAGCTAGACTATTTAATTTATATACTATATATCATAATAATTAGAGTAACTAAAACACCAACACATTACTATCTCTAAGCTCACAGTGCTTACCCGAAAGTGTGCTATGAGTGAAACCCACTTTGTAATCCTAATAAACATAACTATCTCTAAGATCGTAATTATATTGCTACCCAAAAGTACATTTTGGGTAAAATTCGTCTTGTGATTCTAGCCAACAAATAACCACAATGAAGTAATAAACAAGTTTAGGTTGCCCATATATAGCTGATCGACTCAAACTAAGAAGATCAATAGGCTACTATCATAAGAAGTTAAACACTTGAAACCTTATAGTTACCCCAATTCAACTGTTCACCCAACTTGATTGGGTTGTCCCGCTACTCTTTTATGAACACAATTATCTATCCAACCTCACCGAGCAAGTTTAGATTGATTAATGGTTAGGTTCACTACTACATATTACTTAGTATTCAATTAGAATGAAGTGATTTAAATAAGCATGTGATAAAACTATGTCATCTCAAATTCGTCATTAGTGATAAAGTAGAGCACTAGAGCCGACCAATTCTAAGTAAAATTGACAACACAAGATTTGTTTATATCTACAACAAACCAACCCCTCCTTCATTAAACAAACCTAAACAAAGTTAACGTGGTACGTTCAATGGTCGCAGTCCATGGATGGGATGTGTACAACCCAACCATGTAAGAATGACAAGACAACACATAATTATATATGAGTGGCTTTTCACTAAAATTAAGGGGAGCCAAAGAGGGGAATATTTTGGATAAAATAATCACAAAAAAAAGCTAAGGGCCAATAAATTTGAATGCTTTGTCTTCATGCACACTAAAAACTGAAGAGGGGTGGCAGAGGCCATTGCATTATTGAACAACCATAAGCTAAAAAGGGGGGACTCCATTATTGAATGATTGATTTTTTTTTTTGGGTTTTTTTTTTTTTTTTTTGAGTGGATCTAGTCTCTACAGGTTGGTCCATGTGTGATGATAGGAAGGGAGAAGAGAATTGAAAGAAAGGTGGCATAAGTATAGTTAGATTATATCAGTCACGT